AGGGGGATAGCTTGAGGCTCTGTCTCAAAAAAAAAAAAAAAGAGCTTGAAAAAATAGTGCTTTGTTTTATATGGAATCAGAAAAAAACTCGAATCGACAATACAATACTCAGAAATAAAAACAAATCAGGAAGTATCACATTACCAGACTTCCAGGTAGACTGAATCTATAGTGGTCAAAATAGCATAGTACTGGCACAAAAACCAAGAGGTAGATTTATAGAACAGAATGGTAAACCAAGAGATGAACCCAGCTACTTATCATCATTTGATCTTTTATAAGCCTATCAAAAACATTCAGTGGGGGAAAGACCCCCTATTTAATAAATGGTACTGGGTGAACTGGCTGGCGATCTGTAGAAGACTGAAACTGGACCCCTGCCTTTTACCATTAGCAAAAATTGATTTTCATTGGATAAAAGATTTAAACTTAATACATGAAACTATAAAAATACTAGGAGAGAGTGCAGGGAAGACACTTGAAGAAATCAGCCTGGGATATTTTATGAGGAAGACCCCCCCCTCCTCCGGCAACTGAAGCAATACCCAAAATCCATTACTGGGATCTGATCAAACTAAAAAGCTTTTGCACAGCCAAGAGCACAGTAAGTAAAGCAAACAGACAACCTTCAGAATGGGAAGAGATTTTTGCAGGTTATGCTTCCCACAAAGGTCTGATAACTAGAATCCACATAGAACTCAAACTAAATAAAAAAAGAAGAAATAACTCCATTTCTCTGTGGGCAAGAGACTTGAACAGAAACTTCCCTGATGAAGACAGGCACATGGCCTACAAACACATGAAAAAATGCTCATCATCCTTAATCATCAGAGAAATGCAAGTCAAAACCACTTTGAAATACCATCTAACCGCAGTAAGATTAGCCCACATCACAAAATCCCCAAACTACAGATGTTGGTGTGGATTTGGAGAGAAGGGAACACTTCTACACTGCTGGTGAGAATGTAAGCTAATACGACCTTTTTGGAAAGAAGTTTGGAGAATACTCAAGGAAGTAAATCTACCATTCGATCCTACAATTCCTCTACTACGTATATACCCAGGTGAACAAAAATCATTTAACAACAAAGACATTTGCCCCAGAATGTTTACTGCAGCCCAATTCATAACTGCCAAGACATGGAAACAGCACAAGTGCCCATCAACCCATAAATGGATTAACAAACTGTGGTATATGTACACCATGGAATACTCTACAGCCAGAAAAAAGATGGAGACTTTATATCTTTTATGTTTACCTGGATGAAGCTGGAACATATTCTTCTTAGTAAAGTAGCTCAAGAATGGGGGGAATAAGTATCCAATACACTCAAATACTATGATGAAATCAATATATAATCACCTACACATTCATATGAATGGGAAAACATAACTCTAGTCCACAAAGTAGAAGGGAAGAGGAGACAGAGGGGAGGGGAGGAGGGAGGCAGAAAGAAGGAAGATATTTGGGAGGACCACACTTAATATGCATGATACATTGTACATTTCAAAACTACAAAGAAAGGAGTATAATTGTGATGGATGTATTAATCAGTTCCATGTAAGCATTTCACATTGTATATCAAATCAGTGCACTGAACCCCATAATGCATCGATGTACACAGAAATAATTTAATAAAAAAAAAGATTAACCCCCCCCACAAAAAGAAATCTCCAATAATAAACAAGACACCAATTTGACTAAAGACTGCCATATTCATCATACCTACAAAGTTTCTCTCCAGGATGAATTCTCTAATGATTTGCAAGGTGTGAATTCTGACTGAACACTTCCCCATATTTATTACATTTATAAAGTTTCTCACCAGTATGAATTATTAGATGTTATGTAAGGTGTGAATTATGACTGAAGACTTTGTCACATTCATTACATTTGTAAGGTTTCTCTCAGCATGAATCCTCTTGTGCTGTCCTAGGGATGACTTGCCATCGAATATTTTGCCACATTCATTACATCTGTAAGGTTTTTCTCCAGTGTGAATTCTTTGATGTTTTGCAAGATGTGAATTATGATTAAACACCTTTCCACATTCCTTACATTTGTAAGGTTTCTCCCCAGTATGAATCCTCCAGTGCATTTGTAGGGATGATTTCTGAGTGAACATTTTGCCACATTTGTTACATTTGTAAGGTTTTTCTCCAGTGTGAATTCTCTTATGTTGTGCAAGGTATGAAATACGATTAAATACCTTTCCACATTCATTACATTTGTAAGGTCTCTCTTTAGAGTGAATCTTCCAATGTTGTCTAAGGATTGAACTTGTACGGAATACCTTTCCACATTCATTACATTTGTAAGGTTTCTCTCCTGTATGAATTCTCCGATGCTGTGCAAGGATTGAACTTACACGGAATACCTTTCCACATTCATTACATTTGTAAGGTTTCTCTCCTGTGTGAATTCTCTGATGCTGTACAAGGGCTGAACTTTCACGGTATACCTTTCCACATTCATTACATTTGTAAGGTTTCTCTCCAGTGTGGATTCTCTGATGCCGGGCAAGGTGTGAAATGTAATTGAAGACTTTACCACATTCATTACACTTGTGAGTTTTCTTTACAGCATCGACTCTCTGATGACTTCTAAGGCTTGATTTTTTATTAAAAACCTTAGCACATATGTCAGATTTAAATCGATTCTCTTCCTCATGCATTATTTGATGAATGGTGATATGTGTCCCTTGATGAAAGGCTTTGTCCCACTCAGTACATCTGTAATGTTCTGTCACTATGGGTGGTTTCTCACTTTGTGGGAATAATGAATCCATAAGATCATACTCATGTTCATAAGAAAAGTGGGGTTTCATAGTAGAAGGAATTCTGTGGGGTGGGGAAACTAAGAAATCACTGTGGATAGACGGATTCATGGGATTACATTCATAAATTTTCTCCTCAATTTTAAATAGCTGCAGTTCTGGTAGATGTGACTGGGTGTTCAATCCCAGCTTATTATTAACAATCTTGTTTCCTGAATCCTTCCTATCATGCTGATCTCTCCTACCAGTGAGATTTCCCTGAGGGGTCATACGGACTCCACTGCAATGTCTTTCATCATCTCTCCACTGACACCCAAAGTTATGTAAATTCTTCTGAATTTCCCTAAAGCAAAGGTCTTCAATGTCATGGTTTTCTTTCCTTTCCAACATTATTCTGGGGAATATTTCTTCTATCCCACTGCTCTCTATAATTGGCAATTCATTTATCACACATATAGAAGAGATACCTACAAGATATAAAGAACCACAGGTGTCTGATAAATTATACATGGTCATTAAATACCTCCTATTGAAATATATAACATTATATCAAAAGTAATATAGGTATAGCACACGAGTTACAAAACATGTGATTTCCTGACTATTAGGAAAACTTTTTATTTTTTTAAAATGAAGAAAAGGTGATTATATGTAATTCAAAAGAGTAGGCAGGGAAGGCTAGCATGAAACAACCTATTAGTAAAATACCTCGCAAAAGCCCAAGTTAACCCAGAAGGGGGGGGTAATTTTACCCTGCAGGCAAACCACTACAATGGGCTCAAAGCATGTGGGTGTTCAGTGATTGAAGGGAATGATGTACATGTACTTGGAAAATGGATGAACTAGGGTCTCAGAAAACATTTCTTGGAACAAACTGAGAAATATGATCCTATATAACATAATTCAGGTAACTATGATTTGAACATTCATGTTGGTCAAAGTTCATCTGCTGAGGTCCTATTCTAAATTTAGCAGTCTTTACAAACACCATGCAGTATTCTTAGCCATCAACCAGCATGAAGTTGTTAGAGGAACCAACATATAAATCACATTTCATGTAAAAGCAGCAGGTCCATAGCATTTATGCATCTAATGCCAATTTGCACATTAAATGAGAAAAACAGGAGTTGACCCAGGGTCTGTAGGCTCATACATGTTCTTAGGAGCAACTACTGTTCCAAGGTGCACCAGAAACAACAGCTCATAGGAAACACAAGAGCATAGGAAGAAAGTTTGAGAGACACAGAAAGTCTCGGCTGTGTTGCCAACAGGATTACTCAGTCATCGTTCATGGGCATGGTGTGTGAGTCATCACCCGGGGCACATCCTGATTTAGGCACCAGTGAAAACAACAACTTAGGTAGCGTCCTGCAATAGTTTGCCAATGGTAAGCAAGTAGGTTTATAAGGTGAGAGTAGTGTTGGCAGAAATGGGTCTTGTGGAAACTGGTGTGGTCGGGAACATAAAAAGTAATATGCTAAAACCCCACTGTGCTTACTAAAATACTAAATACATAATAAGTCTCTACATGAGTATGCAGATACAGACATTATACTTATAAATCTATGGAAAAAGAAATATACCATGCTATTTAAAATTCTGACAGTGGTGTGAAAGGAAAAGTGATTTAGTAACCAACACGTAAGTACCCCATTCTCAACTATGAGACTAAAGCTGTGGTAGTGAGGCTAAAATGGAACAGATTGGAAGGAGAGATGGTTTTGATAATGTAGGAAGATATTAGGTTTATAAGTCTTACAATGTTTACTATGAAATTAAATTTATCACATTGAATGACCTATGAATTCTATTTCTAGCATATATTTAACAAATTCTACATACAAATTTTAGAGGATTATCTATAGCCATACCACCCTGAATAGGTCCAATCTCTTCTGATCTCAGAAGCTAAGGTGCTTCAGGCCTGGTTGGTACTTGGGTGGGAGATTCTGGGAAATCATGTGCAGGTATGCTCTCAGTGGGACCCAAAAGAAAATACCTGGATATGATCATGGAAAAAAGAGGGATCATCTCATATTGTATTCACAATGACACAAAATGCTGTTATCAAGGGTATAGCCATGTAGACAAATCCTGGGTGCAGAATCATGATCCAGAGCTGGTCAGGTAGAGGTATGTTTGAAAAAACAAACCAAGGAGGCTATTACTCAAATCTGCCCTTGGTCTGGGCCTTGTTTCCCACACCTGTAATTCTAGGAGTCTGGGATGCTAAGGTGGGTAGACTGCTTGAGCCCAGGAGTGTGAGAGCAGCCCGAGCAAAAGTGAAACTCTGTCTATACTATGAATACAACAATTAGCCAAGTGTTGTGGTGGGCATCTGTAGTCCTAGTTACTTAGGAAGCTGAGCAAGACGATCCCCTTGAGCCTCAGAGTTTGAGGGTACTGTGAACTATGATTCCAGGACACTCTACCCAGGGTGACAGAGTGAGATTCTGTCTCAACAAAAGAGAGGGAAAAATATCTGCCCTTGATTACATAAGTGAAATTAAATTACAACTTCACTAACTAAAATATTTATTTATGTTTTTTTTAGGGACATAGTCTCACTTTGTCACCCTCAGTAGAGCAACTTCCAGCTCTTGGGCTTAGGCGATTCTCCTGCCTCAGCCTCCCGAGTAGCTGGGACTACAGGCACTCGCCACAATGCCTGGCTATTTTTTTGTTGCAATTTGGCTGGGGCGGGTTTGAACATGCTACCCTCGGTATATGGGGCCAGTGCCCTACTCACTGAGCCACAGGTGCCACCCTAAAATATTTTTTATTTTTTAGTAAAGTTATTTTTATTTTTATTTTTCAGTAGAGTGTCCTGGTGTCACAGACATTCATGCCTTTAGGGAGACACAATGTTACCAAAATATAGTACAAAATCCCATGGTGGAAAAATCTTTTTTTTTTTTTTTTTTTTTTTTTTTTTGAGACAGAGCCTCAAGCTGTCCCCCTGGGCAGAGTGCCGTGGCATCACAGCTCACAGCAACCTCCAACTCCTGGGCTCAAGCATGTCTCCTGCCTCAGCCTCCCAAGTAGCTGGGACCACAGGCACCTGCCACAATGCCCGGCTATTTTTTTTTTGTTGCAGCTGTCATTGTTGTTTGGTGGTCCCGGGCTGGATTAGAACCACCACCTTAGGTGTATGTGGCTGGTGCCTTAGCCATTTGAGCCACAGGCACCGAGCCAAAAAATATTTTTTAATTTATTTCAGAATATTATAAGGTACATACATTTTAACATTTTAATTACACAGCTTACATATATACATACATATATATATTTATTTTATTTTTGAGACAGAATCTCATGTTGTTGCCCTGGGTAGAGTGTCATGGTATCATCATACCTCCTACCACCAACTATTGGGCTTCAGGGATACTCCTGGAGTTTTTCTTTTCTTTTTTTTTTTCAGACAGAGTCTCACTTTCTCACCCTTGGTAGAGTGCTGTGGCAGTATCACACTGCTCATAGCAGCCTCCAGCTCTTGGGCCTAGATGATTCTCTTGCCTTAGCTTCCCGAGTAGCTGGGACCACAGGCGCCCACCATAGCGCCCAGTTTTTTTTTTTTGCTGCAGTTTGGCTGGGGCCCAGTTTGAACCCGCCACCTTGGTATATGGGGCTGGCGCCCTACTCACTGAGCCACAGATGCTTCCCTAGTTTTTCTATTTTTAATAGACATGGTGTCTTGCTTGAATTCTGTAGCTCAAGCATCCACCTGCCTTGCCCTTCCAGAGTGTGAGGATACCAGGTATGGGCCACCATGGCCGGCACTTGTACTTACTTGTATTTACTTGTATTTTCGATACAAGTAATAAATATGTCCTTCACGTAGAAAGTGGCCCACGTACCCATCAAATGTAAATTTACTTATCCCACCCTCCATCTACTTGAATTCTGTTGAGTTCTGCTCCCATAAGTGCACATAAGTATTGCTCAAGTAGTTTCAATTTTAGTAGTGAGTATATGTGGTGTTTTTTTTTATTCTTGTGATACTTCACTTAGGAAAATGGCCTCTAATTCTAGCCAGGTTGGTACAAAAGATTCTAGGTCACCATTTTTTTATTGGCTGAGTAGTATTCCATGGTGTACAGATACCAGATTTATTAATCCTTTCACATATTGATGGGCACTTGAATTATGTCTATATCTTTGCTATTATGACTTGGGGAGCTTTAAACATTTGAGTGCAAGTGTCTTCTTTTTTTGAAGCTGAGTCTCAATATGCTGCCCTGGGTAGAGTGTTGTGCTGTCAACAGCTCACAGTAACCTCAAACCCTTGGGCTTAATGATTCTCTTCCCTCAGCCTCCCAAGTAGCTGGAACAACAGATGCCCACGACAACACATGGCTAATGAGGACAAGTGTCTTTAAGATAAAATGTCTCCACTGGGAAACTCTTCAAATAAGATAGCCCTGTGAATTACTTGACAAAAATGTAAAACAACTGTCTTAATGATGCTCAGTGAACTAAGAAATAACTGATAGCCAACTAAATGAAATTAATAAAAAGATTTGTAGGGACAAAATAAAAATAGGAGAAAAGAGCAAAAGTTATAAAGAACATCCAATCAGAATGTCTGTAGATGACATGGAATGAATGCATTTATAAATATGCTAGAGTGTTTCCAAAGCAGATAACATAGAAAAAAGTGAGAATTTGATGGCTCTGCACCTGTAGCTCAAGCAGCAAAGATGTCAGCCACATACACCAGAGCTGGCGGGTTTGAATCCAGCCTGGGCCCACCAAACAACGATGACAACTACAACCAAATCATAGCCAGGTGTTGTGGCGGGCGCCTGTAATTCCAGCTACTTGGGAACCTAAGGCAAGAGAATTGCTTAAGCCCAGGAGTTGGAGGTTGCTGTGAGCTGTGATGCCATAGCACTCTACCCAGGGCAACAGAGGCTCTGTCTCCTAAAAAAAAAAAGTGACAATTTGAAAACAAAATATAGCAAATTATTCACTTGAAATACAAAGTGAAAAATTGAGAAAAGAAAATAGCCTAATAATTTTATGTGACAACATCAAATGAAGAATATATATACTTTGAGAAACTTATAAAGAGAAGGAAGAAGATTTGAGAACTCATTTGAAGAAATAATTTCCACAACAGCCAAGATGAGAGGTTAATTAAAGACTCAATGCCCTTTACCATAGCCCCAAAGAAAACGAAATACTTAGCAATATACCTAACAAAAGAGGTGAAGGACCTCTATAAAGAAAATTATGAAACCCTAAGAAAGGTAATAGCAGAGGACACTAACAAATGGAAGAACATACCATGCTCATGGCTGGGAAGAATCAACATTGTTAAAATGTCTATACTTCTGGGCGGTGCCTGTGGCTCAGTGAGTAGGGCACTGACCCCATATACCAAGGGTGGTAGGTTTAAACCCGGCCCCATCAAACTGCAACAACAAAAAAAATAGCTGAGCCTTGTGGTGGGTGCCTGTAGTCC